CATTACAACACTTTATAAAGTTTAGGTTGTTAATAGTAAAAATTAAAAGTTCACGTAGTAATCACGCACATGCCTATAAGTTCAGATAATATTTATGTAAGTTTTCCTTTATTATAATTATGTATCTATCGCGCTATACATGTTGTAAAACAAATTGTAAAATTGTTCTCACCAAAGAGAGTTGCATTATTAGTACATTGCCCTTTTGCAGTTTGTATTTTAGGGCACACTACCAAACCTTACACTCCAAGGTGCACACACTCTTAGTCTTGTGTTTACCAGAACATGAAGATCTTCAACTTTAATAGCCAAAACCCAATTAAGAGAAAAATATGCCAAGAAACACAAACATTTATTGCAAACAAAACTTCAAATCAAAACCCATCGAAATAACTATTATAAGAAGAAAGAACTTGTACATTTAGATTGATGTCAATGAACAAAAAGTGGTCTTCAACCAACCATCCCCTCAATCACAATGTTAAATAAGAGAATTAGACCCCATTGCATTGATCAAACACTAGCTTATCAAAACTAATTAAAAAAGTTAAAAAAAAACCTAACTGAATTAGTTAAACCCAATTTCCACTAATCTTACCACCAATACTACTACCATCAGTCATTATTAATTTTTCTGAATCAACTACTTCCCTCAAATAATCTGCCTACGATTTCGCTATCGGCGCAAAGCAGCTCTTTGACCTCAAAAGAGCGGGTAAGCAACCCAACCCCTTTTTTTGGGCAAGTTCAAAGTCCGTCGCAAAAGCTGCTTCATCGTCGATATCAATTCCTCAGCAGACTTCACTGGAGGGCTCGACAACCGAAACTCCTCACGGAAACTGGCATGCCGTTTCATCACCTCCTCGTCGCTAAGGCCTCTATGCGACCTCGAGTTCTCGTCCTTGATCTCCTCCGCACAAAGTTCTCAAATCCGATGGCAAAAGATGCCTCTCCTTTCACCGTAGCTATGTACTCTGGCGTGCATTCCTTCGTTAACCCGCAGCAGTAGCACTTCACCAACTCCTTTTCCACCGCTGATTGAGCTGTACTTGGACTCCCTGACTGCGACGCCTTCATAGCCACAAATTCGAGAGAGGGAAAAAAAAAAGGGGAAACGAAGAGTCTATAATTAAAATTTTACTGTTTAATTTGTCTTAAACCCTAATTAACAGCTGTGAAATTTGAAATTTGAACCAATTTTGTTTAATTGACATGACAGAGACTTTATATTGGTGACACAAATATCTCAAAACCTGATTTCTTTTTTTCTGTTTTTTCTTTTTTGGATAATGAAATAAGTTTTTTGACTGCTCTTATATAGAGCTCTTTCGAAACCTAAACATAGAATTTTCGTGTTGATTTGGAATTTGGATTTCCCAAATCCCTAATCGTTGCCTTGTTTGGGGCCGCTGTGATTTTGTTTCCCTTTTTTTCTTCTTCTTCTAGCTAAGTTTCAAACAAGTTTCTCTGCACTTTTGGATTTTGGCTTCAGATCATGACACGTGTGTTGTTTCGATTGGGTGCAGGTGGTTGCTTCTATACGGGGCCAATAAATTGATTTCTCTCATTAATTGGTGATTAATTAAAAAAATCACTTTTTTCGAGTGGGATTTAATTATATATTTTTTAATTATTTTCCTTCAATTTTCATAATAACATTAAAAATATATATTTCTTAAACTACTTATAAAATGTTTTTTATTAATTGTTGTACAAGCAATATTTTAAACTATCCTAAATTAATCTAATTTATAGGGAAAATAAATTTGAACTTGAGTGCAATAGGATATACTCTCTGTCCATACTAATTGGGCTAACCATCTCCAATAGTAGTAGCAAATTAAACTCTTCAACTTAAAGTTTGTTGACCTATGTGGCTAATTGAAAATGTTTGTTTGCTACTTTAATAATTTGTACCCTAATAGACTATTCATTTCAATTAAGGGAGATTCACTATTATACCTAATATAGGAGCCCAAATTATATTTATATAAAAAATGAATTTTAGAAACTCACCCAAAGCCCATTTACAATAACAAAGAGGCTTCTAACTTCTTATAAATTACAAAACTGCCATCGATTTCTTAAAACAAGCCCAACCCCAAAACCTTGTTAAAAAATTCAAAAAACTCAATAGGGCATCAAAGTAATTTAATAATCAAAATTAAATTCAATAAGGTCAACTGCCATTTTTTGGGTTTTTTTGGGTTTGTTTATAGAATTGAAATGGTGTAGGGTTGATTTATATTGTTAGTGCTAAGAATGGGTATATGAATAAATATCTATTTAATTAATGCAATATTATGACAATAAAAATTATGAAAAATGTGAAGAAAGTCTATGTATTTATTATTTGAAAAGAAAAAAATTGTAGGTTTTTATAATTTTCAATGTAGGTTTTGTTGTTCCAAAGCAAAATGAAATGTTTTAAAGAGTCAAAGTCAACTTGTTAGTCCTTAAGAGAAAGAAATGGGTTGCAACTTTAATGACTTAGTTTGACAAGTTTGGAGCAAGTTTTGGTGATGTGTCTCGCCTATTTTAACATTTCAAACTTGTTGAAGAGACTGTTGGAGATGCTCTAATCCTAAAATGACGGGACATTTTAAGTTTTAAATATGTGATTGTTTCACGTGTTAAGATAATTATGAAAGAGAAACGTATATGTTGTGAACCATTTCACTTTCTATTCATATACATAAATACATAAATAATTTTTTTATTTATTCGTGTCTAGTCAAAATATACATGAACCTACCTATAAGTTGTGTGCATCAAAAGTTCATTTCATTAAACTTGAAATATTCTAGTCAAAATATACATGAACCTACCTATAAGCTGTGTGCATCAAAAGTTCATTTCATTAAACTTGAAATATTCTTTTTTTGGACAAGATTTGACAACATATTTAGTATGATACATTGTGGATCGCCCCATCCAAGGTTTTCACAGGCAAATCACGCATTTTTTTATTTGTATTTTTTCTATCCATGTCCCAAGAGTGAGAGAATAAATGCTAGTTAGATTGAGTGGACTGGGGGACGCTTGTGACATAATAATATTTGGCAGTGGGGAAATTGAGAGCTCTGTCTCTGAAACCATTTTGACTATCATTTAATTTTGTTTGCTCCAAATGGTCCAGGTCCAACAACATGACACGTTAGGGTAAGGCCCAAGATAATTTCTCGTGGAATTAGAATTAGATGTGTTGGAATATTCCAAAGCTTTCCAATATTCTTATGTAAATCCCATAAATAGATAATTATAAAAAAGAAAAAAGAAGATAATTAAAAGATCCGCGCCAACAATTAAATAAGGCATTTGGGTAAAGCAAATGAGTTATTCATTTATTTATTTATTTATGGATGTATTTGGGTTTGTTTGCACTTGTCCCTTCTTATTATTTTTGCATGTACTTACGGTAATTAAAAGTGACACAAGTACCCCCACTATTAATTTCATGTGGATAGTAATTAATTTTAGGGAGTTTCACTAAAGCACCCAAAATGGGGGCTGAAATTATAAAAAAACTTAACACCCAAAACACTTTATAAACACACTCAAAATCCATCATTACACACACTCAAAACCCATTTATAAACACACCAAAAAAATATACAATTGTTGATTTTGGGTGTGTTTCTATGTTTAAATAGTGCTTTGGTTTTTTTTATAAATACATGTCTAGGATTGGGTTTATTTATAAATTTGTATTAATTTTATACATGACCCAGAAAAAATAAGGGAGTTTCACTAAAACACCAAAAATGGGGGTTGAAATTATAAAAAAACCCAAGCACTATTTAAACATATAAACACACCCAAAACCCATCATTACACACACTCAAAACCCATTTATAAACACACCTAAAAAGTTGACTTTGAGGTTGATTTTGGGTGTGTTTCTATATTTAAATAGTGCTTGGGTTTTTTTTATAAATACATGTCTAGGATTGGGTTTATTTATAAATTTGTAAAAAAATAAATTATACATCTTATATATATAGTGTATTTACTCTGCTAAATCCTATGTAATATCGAAAAGTTAAACTTTGCGGGATAATTTGTAAGATATAAAAATGGTCAAATATTATTTTTAAAATTTCAAGAGATTTTGTGAAAACACCTAAAATCTCAAAAAATATTAGTGTAAATAACTCAGTATTATTTGATGTGAACAGTAAAGATATACACAAGTTTCACTAGTAAATTAAATATGTCTAAAACAAGAGACATTGATTTGTGGTTATCCTTTTGGTTAAAAATGTGTGTTAGTTTTCATTTCTTTATTGAGACAGGGTAAATGGTTTAATTAATCAAGTAACCCATATCGAAAATTCCCTTCATAATGTTTTTTCATTTTTTTTCTCTATTTTTTTGACTAAAAAAAATATAGAAAACATAAAATTGCCAAGCAGAAAACAAGGGGTTGGTGGAAAATTTGGTATTTTGATTATTGCATGTATTTATTGGACTTTATAAATTTACAATATCGATTTTGATGTTGTAACAAAATAGAAAAGGGAGTTTCACTAAAACACCCAAAATGGGGGTTGAAATTATAAAAAAACCCAAGCACTATTTAAACATATAAACACACCCAAAACTCATCATTACACACACTCAAAACCCATTTATAAACACACCCAAAAAGTTGACTTTGGGGTTGATTTTGGGTGCGTTTCTATGTTTAAATAGTACTTGGGTTTTTTTATAAATACATGTCTAATATTGGGTTTATTTATAAATTTGTAAATAGAAAAATACTTGGATCCCAACCCATTTTCCCAAACATGACGGTAATAATAAATAAATAGATATTAAAATATTCAGCTAAAAAATTTGTGCTCATCCTCCCCGAATCCCTATGCGTCAAATAAATCTTTATATTAAAAATATATTAATTAATTAAGTAAACAAAATAATGCGTAGAATTTGGAAAGAGATAGAGAGGAGAGAGGAGAGAGGAGAGAGGAGAGAAGAGGAGAGGAGAGAGGGGTCAAATCGAGTGGCGAAGGGGTTGGGTTGTCTTTTACATTTTTGTTTTTGTGGTGCTCGTATTAGGCTGAGGGTTTCGAACAAAAACACACACAACACACACAGACCAGAGAGAGAAGAAAGAGAGACGAGATATAGAGAGCCCTGAAAGCTCAAGATAATACTGGAGATACAACTCTCTGAGCTTAATACAAAAGCCCCAATCGTCGATTATCTTCTTCTTCCTTTACCTACTCTCTTCTTTTAAGCTCTGCTAATTTCAGCCGATGGATCCCTTCGATTTGATACGAAAAGGTACACCCTTGCTACTTCATTCAATCGGATCTTTCACTTCCTCTGTTAAATTTTGCAGCTTTATTGTTTGCTTTGTTATCTTCATTTCTGGGTTGTTTTGAATTTTTTAAACTTTGTGATTATTGACGTTGAATTTATTGAGATCTATTGAATTCGATTGCTTAGCTAATTGGGGATTTGGTTTTGGTGTGTACTTCGAGTTGGTTTTTCTTTATTGTTTGTTTTTTAATCCTCGATTTTATCAAGATTTTGTTGTGGAAATGGGTGGTTGGTGTTCAAATCAGGTCTTAATTTAATGAGCTTTGAATATAATTGAAGTGGGAGATTTTATTTTGTGTTATCTTGTTTACTTTTGTTTGAAAATGAATCTTTATCTTTTTGTTATTTTAATCAGTATGTGAAATTGAATTTTGGGGTTTAAGCCTTTTCGTTTGAAGCTTTATCCTAATGACAGAATTGAGTCTTTGTTTGTCAACAGCTTTGTCGTTTGTCAATTTCTTATGCATAATTTGCACCTACAAATGCAATAAGCTTATCATCTTTTATTTCACGCACCATTTTTGACTTATACAGAATCCACCAAAATTATTACGTTTTAGCTAATTTCAGTAGTGAACAAATTATTTTAGTTTGTGTCTATAAAAGTGATGAATAAATGTATGATTTCAATACTTTTTTTTAATTATAAAAAATGTATATTTTGTTTTCCCTTTTTGCTATTATTTTCTGTTGGTTTATAGCTAGAAATCTTTTTGCATTGATTGGATGGACACACTGAATTGTGAGTGGGTTAGTCGTGAATGGAGGTTTTTGGTCAATGGACTAATTATAGCACTCCATGAACGGTTTTGCAGGGTTTGGTTGAAGCTTAATGAAAAACAAGTTCTTCTTTCATTCAAAGCTGGTCTAGTTATTTCCATCTTAGTAAATAATGAGCTTGTCCAAGAAAGGAACCTTTACTAATGACACAAAACTAAGCACTGCAAACAAGGCAACTGCCTTGAATCCAAATGCAGCAGAGTTCGTTCCTTTTTCCCTCAGATCTCCGTCATCTGGAAGCACCAGCACAGGTCAGACCGCAACAAAGTTTTCTTCCACTGGAACATTTGGAAAAGCAGTACTAGATCGAACAGAGTCTTCTGCATCAAATAATTCCGATGAAGAGGCCCACCAATATTGGCGTCACCAGCTCCCTGATGATATTACTCCTGACTTTAAGGTAATGGGAGAAGTTGAGTCACAAGGCCTTGGGAATCTCTCTTTGGCGGGTTTGTCCTTCCATGATGATGGTGAAGCAACACAGTTTCCTGCCTCTACAGGCAGTGGATACTTATTAAACGAGTCACATATTAATGGTAATAACTTTTCTGAAAAGTTAAGAGCTTCTGCACCCCCCTTTGGGGATGATCTTTCCTCCGCCAGTTTCTTGCATATGTCACCTAAGCCTTGGGATAAGCAAATTGTGAACAGTAATCAGCTTATTAGCAATGGTCAGGAGGGGTCTCCATATGATGGATTTTCTAGACAGGGGTTCATGAATGATATGTTCAGTGAGCATGCAGTTGTCGACGATACTGATATTAACCCAGCTGAGTTTTTGGCTTCACAGTTCCCTGGATTTTCTGCTCAGAGCCTTGCCGAAGTTTACTTTGCCAATGGTTGTGACTTAAACCTGACTATTGAGATGTTGACTCAGTTGGAGGTATGCTTAATTTATTTATTTATAAAAATAAATAAATAAATATCAGTTTCATTACTGTGAATTGAGGTGTGTGATGGTACGTATTTGTTTTGGTTGTAGCTTCAAGTTGATGGTGGTTTTAATGAGAATCTGAATTCAAAGACTGTGTCAGCTCCCGATCTTAGTTCAATGGACTTCCCTGCACTTACACCAACAGATGGTCAGCATAGTCATCCAAAATATGGAGATGATGATCTCCAGCAAAGTGGCAATCCTTATCGATCTTCTGACAAGGACAACATGCTTTTTTTCAAGTCTAGCTCATCCATTCCATCTAGAGGTGCAATAGATTTTGCTTCAGCTGTCAGGAAATTGGCAGCGCAGGATTCTGGTGGATGGAAGTTTGAGAGAAATGGTTCTCCCGAAGCCGCTATTGGCTCAAGCAGACGTTCCCATCTTTTGCCTAGCACTTACAATACTGGGCATGGAAGAGGCATCTACAGTGACAGGTCGCAGAATCGTGGTTCAGCTCGGACTGCTCCTGTTTGGCTTGAAACTGGAGATGCTGTTGGTAATGTTCCTTAGTCAACCAAATTACTTCTGTTTATGTCCAATCAATTTGGGCATGCCTTCTCGATTTATATTTTCTTTAATATTGTTGAGATGACAGCAAATATGTATTCTGATGTGCGGGATGAAGCTCGTGACCATGCACGCCTACGTAATGCATATTTTGAGCAGGTTAGTCCTCAAGTTTGTGAAGTGGTCTTTCTGTTAAACGTCAGCCCTTTTTTCAATATATTTCTTACTTTATGTCAACAGTAAATCCTCAAAATTAACTAAAAGTTGAGTTGGTGAAGCATGTGGACATCTCGGTAGATTTAATTTTCAAGCATGATTGACTCTATCGAGTTGACCAGCAATGTTGTTTGGCCTAGTTTTGATGTTAACAATGAAAAGGAATATAAATCGTCAAGGAAACAAACTGCAGTGGCACATGGCGGGTGTGCACATTCCATTGGTTTGAAACGTGCGTGATTTTAACCAATAGCTATTTGTAGGAGTGTTTTTCCTACATAATATTGCTATAACGGCGTGCTGAATGCTGAGCCACATAATGACTTGTGGGTTCGCTCCAATCCTCACCACTAATTTTCCACCTAAGTTGGCTGTGAAATCAAATTTACCCTATTTGTTTCTCTTTAAAAACAGGCACGGCAAGCATACCTTATTGGAAACAAGGCTCTGGCGAAGGAGCTGAGCGTTAAAGGACAGCTGCACAACATGCATATGAAGGAAGCTCATGGAAAAGCTCAAGAATCTATATATCGTCAGAGGTTTGTTGTCCCCAAGTATTTTTGGAATCTTGTTTTACCATTTTTGAGTCATGCTTCTGTTCATCTTCCAAGGGGATGGCTTCATGTTGTCTTTTGGAAAGGCATTTGTGTGTTATGTCTTTTGGAAAGGCATTTGTCTGTTCCACTATGAAATTTTGATTTTCCCCCGTGTTGCTTGAAATTCTCTCTCTCTAACAAATGCACAGAGACTCATGATAAGTTGATTTTATTATGCAATGATAAGATTGGATTTTCTTTTCCTCCTCTGCCTATCAGAAATCCATTTTATCTTGAAGGGAATAAATGAAGCTAATTTGACTGATTAGCATCTTTTGAACTTAGAGAGATTTGATCTGAGAATGCTTCTAGATAACCATTGCTGCTGCCTCCTGTTCTGGGCATGTCTGAGACAACGTATGTTGAACAGAGTGCTACGTACTCATACAGAGCATGAGTTTGATAACAGACTCAACACTGTTGATTAATTTTGGCATTTGCCCCCGATAACCTTAGTTTTCATGTTTTTGTTTTCTTTCTTTGATAACTTATTTGTTGCCTTTCTTGTTGTCTCGATTCTTTCTAAAATCACAGGAACCCAGTTGCTCCAGAGATGCAGGGCAATGGGAGAGCACAAGAGAGGATGATAGACCTGCACGGGCTGCACGTAAGTGAAGCCCTTCATGTCCTGAAGCATGAGCTGAGTGTGTTGAGGAGCACTGCCAGAGCAGGAGAGCCGGGTCTTCTGGTGTATATTTGTGTTGGAACCGGCCACCACACCAGGGGTTCTCGCACACCGGCAAGGCTCCCCGTTGCTGTACAGCGATACCTTCTTGAAGAAGAAGGCCTTGACTACACTGAGCCACAGCCAGGGCTGCTTCGAATTCTGTTATACTGAGCCAGGAAGATGGCAGTGTGAGGTATATGAGGTTTTTAACACAGCACAGTCCGTGAAGGCATAGTCATCATAGCGATTCTTGTACCTGTATATGGGAAGAAATCAAGTTTAGTCCAAGTCTGAAAAAAGGAAAAAAGAAGAAGAGAAGTATCGTGAAGTTAGAGGGAAAAACACCCAAAAGAGAAAAGGGAACAAGTGTATCGTTAAGTTCGACCAGTTGACCGAGGGATTACATTTCAGTAGCCAAAAATTATCCTTCATTAGAAGTTGTCTTGCAACTTTTTTTCTTTTCTTTTTTTGTTAATTTTGTACCTTAAATTTTATTTCTTTCTAAATTCCTTTTTTGATTCTCAGATGTAACTGATAGAATTGAATTACATGATAGAACAATTCACCTTGCCAATTACACCCTGAGCCAATCAGATGTAACTTCATGTTTTAGAGATCTCTTAGCTATGATCTTGATCAGGCAGCCTATACTATAACACAGTTAACTGGAGACCCTCTTGTCCAATTCTTACTTTTTTGGCTTATTGTTCAACTCAACCAACTTTATGAATCATGTTACAATTAACAATCAAGAAGCAATGGTCTAAACTAAAGTAGTCTAATCTATAAGGAGAGGGAGCTCGAAGTCGAATGCAACGAGGTGACTACGCTCCTCTGGCCAGCTGGCCTAATCTTTCCAACATTTTCAAGGTTGAATCTGATCCTGGGCAATTTGTACAGCTTGAAAAATTTAACCAAGCACAACATGCCTCCTAAAATGAAATAAATACTTGAGATTTTAAACTCACACTGAAACCGGTCATTATGTGTTCCGAATCCGAAGTACAAGTACCAGAATCTTGAGTTTTGGAGGGAAAAGCAGACAATGCACCCAAGAAATAATAATGCAGTTGCAAGCCAACCTCCGACCCAAATCCATTTTCCTCTCTACCAACAACACTTCATACTTACGAACTCTTTTCCCTCTCTTCAACTTCTCATCTCTCTCCTATCCCATCTCCAAGTCTACCCATATCTCACCATCTTCGTCCTCATCTTCTTCCTCTTCTCAATGGTTCTCCGTCATCCGCACCGCAATCACCACCATGGATTTGCAGCTCGGCAAGCGTGTGCATGCGCTTATCATAACCTCCGGCAACGACCCCGATCATTTTTTGACCAACAACCTCATTACCTTGTACTCCAAGTGTAGGTCGCTTTCATGCGCACGCCGCCTGTTCGATAAAACGCCCGGCCGGGACCTTGTCACCTGGAACTCCATTCTAGCAGCCTATGCGCAAGCAGCGGGCTCTGATGTTGACAATGTTCAAGAGGGTCTTACCCTTTTCCGCAGTCTTCGCGAGTCTGTCGTTTTTACCAGTAGACTCACTTTGGCGCCGGTTTTAAAGCTGTGCTTGCTCTCAGGGAATGTATGGGCTTCGGAGGCTGTTCATGGTTATGCTGTTAAAATTGGATTGGAATGGGATGTGTTTGTTTCTGGTGCACTTGTGAATATATATTCCAAACTCGGACGGATTAAAGAGGCTCGTGCATTGTTTGATGGGATGGAGGAAAGGGATGTGGTGTTGTGGAATACAATGCTCAAGGCCTATATGGAGATTGGTCTTGAGAAAGAAGGACTTTCTCTCTTCTCTGCGTTTCACCGGAGTGGATTACGTCCTGATGATGTCAGTGTGCGTTCTGTTCTTAGTGGGATTGACAAATTTTATTTTTATGAAGGCAAGAGGAACATGGAGCAGGTTCAAGCATATGCAGTGAAATTGTTTCGTTACGATGATATTAAATTGTTCAGTTACGACGGTACTAATTCAGACATATATTCGTGGAACAAGACGTTGTCCGATTATGTTCAAGCTGGTGAAAATTGGGCTGCTATAGACTGTTTTAGAAATACGGTTAGATCGAAAGTAGAGTTTGACAGTGTGACATTAGTTGTTATTCTATCTGCAGTTGCAGGTGTAAGTGGTTTGGAGTTGGGGAAACAGATTCACAGTGCTGCTTTGAGATCAGGGTTTGATTCTGTTGTTTCTGTTGCAAATAGCCTTATCAACGTGTATTCAAAGGCTCGTTCTGTTTATTCTGCGAGAAAAGTGTTCAATAACATGAAAGAAGTGGACTTAATTAGTTGGAACTCAATGATATCATGTTGTGTGCAAAGTGGTTTAGGAGAGGAATCGGTGATTTTATTTATAGGCATATTACGTGATGGTCTAAGACCTGATCAATTTACTACCGCAAGTGTTTTAAGGGCTTGCTCCTCACTTGAAGGAGGGTTGTATGTCAGTAAACAGATTCATGTTCATGCTATAAAATCTGGTATTGTCACTGACCGTTTTGTTTCAACGGCTCTTATTGATGTTTATTCTAGAAGTGGAAAGATGGAGGAGGCGGAGATCCTTTTTGAAAACAAACGTAAATTCAACCTGGCATCTTGGAATGCAATGATGTTTGGGTACATAATGAGTAATGACAGTCACAAAGCATTGAAACTTATGAGGATGATGCATGAAAGTGGACAGAGGGCAGATGAAATTACTTTGGCGACTCTGGCTAAGGCCACTAGTAGCCTGGTAGCTTTGAAACCAGGGAAGCAAATTCATGCTCATGCCATAAAAACAGGGTTTTCTTCAGATCTCTTTGTTAATAGCGGTATTCTAGATATGTATATTAAATGTGGAGACATGCGAAGTGCACATGGAATTTTCAATGGCATCCCTGCACCTGATGATGTTGCATGGACAACTATGATCTCAGGCTGCGTAGAAAATGGAGATGAAGGGCGCTCTCTTTATATATACCATCAGATGAGGCAGTCGGGAGTTCAGCCTGATGAGTATACCTTTGCTACCCTTGTCAAAGCCAGCTCTTGTCTGACAGCATTGGAACAAGGGAAACAGATACATGCAGATGTCATAAAGTTGGATTGTTCCTTGGACCCTTTTGTTGCGACATCTCTTGTTGACATGTATGCTAAGTGTGGTAACATAGAAGATGCGTATTGTTTATTCAGAAGGATGGATGTTAGGAACATTGCCCTGTGGAATGCCATGTTGGTGGGTTTAGCTCAGCATGGAAATGCTGAAGAAGCACTAAATCTTTTCAGAGTCATGAAATCTAAGAACGTTGAGCCTGATAGAGTTACTTTCATTGGAGTCCTTTCAGCATGTAGCCATTCTGGTTTAGTTTCTGAAGCTTATGAGCATTTTTCTTCAATGCAAAAGGATTACGGTGTTGAACCTGAGATTGAGCATTACTCTTGCCTAGTGGATGCCCTTGGCCGTGCAGGGCGTGTTCAAGAGGCAGAAAAGCTGATAGCATCAATGCCCTTTGAAGCTTCTGCTTCAATGTACGGAGCCCTGCTTGGTGCTTGCAGGATTAAAGGGGACACAGAAACCGGAAAACGAGTAGCAGCACAGCTCTTGGCCATGGAGCCATCTGACTCATCCGCCTACGTTGTTTTATCCAACATCTATGCTGCTGCCAACCAGTGGGATGTTGTGAGTGATGCTAGAACAATGATGAAGAGGCAGAAGGTAAAGAAAGAACCAGGTTTCAGCTGGATAAATGTAAAGAACAAGGTACATATGTTCGTGGTAGACGATAAATCCCATCCACAAGCTGATCAGATATATGACGAGGTGGAGGACTTGATGAAACAGATCTGCGAAGAAGGGTACGTCCCGGATAGGGGGTTTGCACTGGTTGATATTGAAGAAGAAGAGAAAGAGCGTTCTCTCTAGTACCACAGTGAGAAGCTAGCCATAGCTTATGGACTGATAACCACCATTCGGGTGATTAAAAACCGAGTTTGTGGAGATTGCCATAATGCAGTCAAATACATATCAAAGGTTTTTCAACGAGAAATTGTATTGAGAGATGCAAATCGCTTCCATCGTTTCAGGGATGGAAGCTGCTCTTGGGGTGATTATTGGGGACATTTTTCAATTCCTTGCAATAGCATTGGGTTATAAATATCATTTACAAATTTCAACCAATATTAAAATAAATTACTTTTGTATTTATTCCTAGTGAATTTTGTTTCCAGTTTATATTGGTTAATTTAGAATATCGTTTTGTAATATTAGGGAAATCAAACTTAGAATTCCAATTACAAAAATAAATACTCTTAATTACTTAAGTTACAAGCCCTTATTACAATATACAATATCACTTTGTTGCCCTAGTATTTTTTTTAAGGCTTTTTATCACAAAACGTCATTGATGTTTACGAAACTATCAGATTGTATCCTTAAAGTCTTTTTGTAACACTTATGGTCCCAAACGTTAATATAAGTGCTCTAAAATAGTCATTCTGTCAGAAAACTGTTAAATTCAAGGACATAATCGTCAAATCAATCCAAAATTATATATATATATATTTTCTATGGTACAGATTTAAAACAAATTTTAATTACAACTCTCTCTCTTACCGACCCAATGGACCATCCTCCTCCTCCCCCATCGCCTCTCTCTCTGTCTCTCTCTGAGAACTACATCCTCTCACACTCCCTCCCTTACCCACAGACCCAGAGCCCTCCTCAACAAACACCATATCCAACAATGATGGTAAAAACCCACCTTCACCTGGCTTTTTTTTAATTATATTTTTTATATTTTTTTATATACAAGAATCAGACTGAAAAAACAAACAAGATTTCAAACTCAGCGAATCTCCCATTTTTCTCCGGGTTCGAAGCTCCTCACTATCCTCACCTCCATCTCTCTGTTCCTCTCTGTCCTCACCAGCACCTCTTTGTGTTTGAAACCCTCTCTGTGGGAAGATGAGCTTAATAAAACAAGATGACAAAAAAAGAAAAAAAAGAATTCAACTTCTGGGTCTGGGTCATACTTTGGCTTGGAGACTTTTTTTTATTGGTCAAGAAGATAATTTATTGGACCAATTCCTGAGAGTCATATTCAACAATCACTCTAGTGGCATCCAAGTTTGCAATCAACTTGAACAGTGATGTCAAGAAATGAAGGTGGGGTTTTGGGTCGGTGAGAGAGAGAGATAGCGATGGGGAGGGAGGATGGTGCAGTGGGTTGGTGAGTGAGAGAGAGAGGCGATGCAGAAGAACTCAGCCAAAACCATTATATATAAAAATAACAGAAGGAAAAGTTATGCTATTGCCATGGATGAAAGTAACGGGGAAGAGAGTGTTGTGGAGAGAGAAGCTTGGGTAGTGGACTGGAGATGGAGAAGTGCAAGAGAAGAGAGAGAGATGGAAGGAAAAAAATAAAAATAAAAAAGAAGGAAAATTTCAGCAATACAGATGGGGGAAGAAAAGAGAACGGAGGAAGAGAGGGAGGAAGGCGGAGAGTAAGAGGGACGGTTTAAAAACAAAATTCCCGTACCAAGCAGGTTTCTAGATTTATTTATATATATATTATATAATTTTGGATTGGTTTGATGATTATAT